GAGTTGATTCCGAGTCCATCAAACAACCCCTTTCGCAATTCGCGCGGTTGTAAATTCCTGAGATTTCCTTCCCTGAGATTTCGTCCCGTTACGCGCAACATCACGTTTAATTACAACCCTTCCAAAACAACGAAAGCGCGCGAAAGAAACAATAGCTACCCTACAGGCGTGACAATACGGGGCTCTAAAAGTCTCTCGAATAACCCTATCACGGATGTATACAGCCTCGCATACAGATTTATCGTCCTCTCAAGGAATAAAATTGCGAGTTTCGTCGAATAATTATCTTCGCGTAACACCTTTCTTCGTACCTTTCTGCGCACCGATTGTCGATCGACTCTTCGTTATTCTTTCGAGACGATCCTCGAGCTCTCCCGCTTCTCAATCAACCCCCTCTTTCACTAACGAGAATTTTACATCACGAAATCCTAATATCCTAAGTTAATATCCTAAGCTAAGTTTACCAGCATTGTGAAAAAGGGGGAAGAGAAAGAAAGGGGGAGAAAAAAGTTCGACTCCTGATACGTAATAGGCAAGCAGGGTTTATGCGGCAAGTTCGTAAAACCGGTTGAATTTTACAGTATGGTATGGGTGTGAGGTCCACGGGAATTTCGACACTGGGCGGAAGTAAAGCCGGATACTTTACAACGCCAACTTCCAACGAAACTTTCGCCAAGTTTCATTATGAATTTAAGGGAGAGAGAGAAATAAAGAGAATGATAGAGTGAAAATGTATGGTTAACCATACATTTTCACGTATGCTCCGCGTTTCGGTTGACAATTAAACAGACGAATTGTAAACTTTTAGAAAACATTTTGATTGGCTGTATCGTAAAATTATTAATATCGGATCAACGTCAAATTTTGCCGGACGACGGATTTATATTTACCCCCTCCTGTTTATCGCGCGTTTGCAATTATCGCGGATTAATGTAGGGGGAGGAGAGGACTTGCGAATTTGGCCATGCTCGTCCGTGTAACTCGATCCGACAAAATCGGGATCAGAGGTCCCCGTAATCTGGGAAATCGGAATTTCCATTGGACGAGAATTGGACGTGTCAATGGGACCTATTGTCGAGTTATTACGCTCGAAACCTCGCGCGCGTGTTTGCTCTCCGATTAGAAAGTTAACATTAACCATTTCGCCGGTGTTATTGAACCATAGAAACCGTTCTTCCAAATCGAGTGCTTAAATAAATCGTCCATCATCCGTCTACGCGTGGAATAAATAATAAGATATCAACGAAGCAGATTTAGATTTGAGCATTGAATTGGTCTCACGGTAGTCGACGCGTGGAAAATTCACGGAGCGAGGTTTAATCAGGTGGTTGGCGACCGCGAGAGATCGGTTAATGAATTTCGAAATTGGTCTGTTAATCGATTTCCTTTACACCCCGTTCCCCGTGGCGTGCGATATACACGGCCCTCGATCACCCTCGAACAGGATTCCTGGCAAGGCGACATTGCCAGAATTTACGACAGGCTGAAAACTTTCGCGAAAATCTTTGCCACAGTCTATCGAAGATCTCGAAAGAGCCGCACAATTCCCGGCCAAAGGTCTTAGGAAATTCAAACGTTTACAACCAACTGTGGGGGAACTGTTAAGACGTTCACCCAACTTTCCAGCTTTTCCGGACCACGGCCCCAACTTTACTCGATTAAAACTCGCCAAACCGAGTCCTCGTGAGCTTACCCGTGTTTCAAGCGTTTTATACATATGTATATAATATCATATTCTTCCTTTTTTCAACGAATTACAATTTAATTTCCAAATCCTTAACTAACCTCGATGCTTCGAATCTTCGTCCACTCACCAAAGTTGCGAATGTTGAATAAAATTTATCGATCGATCGGATCATCTATGTAACGAGACGAATAAATAGGTCCACGAAATTATGAGTTCACGTGTCTGCACGGTTTTCTCAAGAGACGAAAAGGAAAAAGGGAGAAAGTGACGAACGACAAGTGGTGGATAAGTCGATGCGTTAAGCGTTGACACCAATATATTAGGATATGCGCCCTCTCGCGTATGAAGCAAAGGGTCGAAGGGATTCCGCGATTATTCGTGGGGCGTAAATCACGTACGAGGGCAGAGAAACGAGAGTAACTCCATGTTCATAATCTGTTCATCTCTTATCGATTATACGTAACATATAACGTAACCTAATAAACTATCTAAAAAAGAAAAAAAGAAAAATCGATAGCCAGAGTTGGAGATTAATTAGAAATTCTATGGCGGAGTTTGTGGTTGGTTTTAGAACTGTTGTCACGACAAGAATTTCACCAGCAAGCGGCAAGTAGAATGTCGAAACAAAGCGTACAAATGATTCTGTCGATAAGAGGACAAACACGTGAGAGACCTGCACCACTTCTCTAATTAATCGGAGTTGATTCGAGAGTGTTCCCTTCCTTCGACAATTCGTCTTATAAGACGCGAAGATTGATTAACGTTAACACTCCTCCTCGATTTTCACGAACGAAACGTCTATGATGATTCGGCTGTCCAACTCTTTGCAACATTTAAGTTGGCGAAAAAGCTGCGCCAGATTCGACGGCAGGTAAATGTAGACCAGTGTAACTTTTGTTGCGAAATCCCCGCTCAAAGGAGCAAGTTGCAAATGAATTTTCAGTTAAATACTTGGGAGCAAGTTTTTGCAGCAAAGTGTCGTTAGCGACGGGGGCCGCTTCTTTGATGTATCCCGTAAACCTGAGCGCGGCAAAGGAGGAAGAGCTCGAGGAGTGTCTTGAGAACTTCTCTGAAGAGAACCTTTTTATTTCGATCGACCTTTGACTCGCGAATCTTTCCGCTAACGGAGCCAACATGGATCTCCTTTTTCAAGGATCCGTACACGTTACCTCTTCGTATCTTATTCCCGTGAATCTCGAATCCCCTCCCTCCCTCCCTCCGTTATTACTCCTCTCCATCTCGAGCATCTTGCGTGAGCTTCGAGCCTTCCTCTCTTCCTTCTTCGTCTTCTTCCTCTTCTTTTTAAATATTTCTGGTTTGAAATATTAAAAAATAAAAGTACGAGGGGGAAAATGGCAGCGAATCTCGGGAAAGAATGCGGGGAAGCATCCGGGAGGAACGCAAATTCTTGTCCCGCAACAAACACTTATTAGAGGGGGAGGAATGTGCTTTCTTCATTCATGGGCGGAGGGGGGAGGGCTTCCTTCTCTTTAAAGAACTCCTCGACTCGTACATTTTAATAAGAAGACGTGGTGGAGGAGGAAAGGACAAGATAAGAAATCACGCGGAACGATAAATCTAAAAGTTCGCCGGCCCGTAGTTTTCCGCAGACCTTTCCCCCTCTCCTTCTCCCGAGAAAAAAAAAAAAGAAAAGAAAAGAAAGAAA